CTTTACAAATTATTTAAACTGCTTCTGCTGCTCCTGATGCTGCTGGGCCACTCTCAATCCCACATCAAGCGGGTGCTTTCCCCCTGCCTTGAAGGGATTCACTGATGCAAGCCTCCCTCCAGCCTCACATGCTCTCCCTCGCCCGCACATGCTCACCATGCGCCGAGCACTCCCTGCTTGGAGTCTCAGAAACAGCCCTCCTCTTGGCTGAGAGGCCAGCTGAGAGGCCGGCCAATCACATGAGGAGGGCTTTTGGTGGGAGGATTCACTACCTATTTCCAAAAAGAGAGTAACAGGCAGAGCGATCGTCAGCCTTCTCCACCAAAGGGGTTCCTAAGCCCATCAGAAATATGTGTCTTCTCATTGTCTTTGGCGACCCCTCTGACACCCCTCTCGCAACTCCCTCAGGGGTCCCGACCCCCTTATGCTTTATGCTGCCATAAAGCATAAGAGCAATACTATCTTATTCCGTTTCAATGGATTAAAATTGCCAAGTTAATTTTCAATCACAACATTCCAAGCTCACAACCAACCAGAAGGTCTGCAAATAATCCTTCAGATTCTGCTATGAATTTAATGGAGACAGCTCTGAAATTGTTAATAATTTCCTTCTTTGTATTGTCGAAGGCTTTCATGGCCGGAATCACTGGGTTGTTGTAGGTTTTTTGGGGGCTATATGGCCATGTTCTAGAGGCCTACATGGCCTCTAGAACATGGCCATATAGCCCGAAAAACCTACAACAACCCATTTCCTTCTTTCTTTTAGACCAGTGTTTCTCAATCTGTGGGTCCCCAGATGTCTTGGCCTTCAACTCCCAGAAATCCTATCAACTGGTACACTGGCTGGGATTTCTGGGAGTTGTAGGCCAAAACACCTGGGGACCCAAAGATTGAGAACCACTGCTTTAGACCTTAGCAAATAGACTCGGCACAAAATTATTCAATTAATATTTAAACTTACAGAAGAAACTCAGAATTCTAAACACACCTTTTATTCAGGATAAACTAGATTAATTCTCACCTACATATTTTAAGAAACACTCTGTGTCTTTGTAGATTGAATACACACACATACACACACTGTAATAGAGTTTCTATTATTTATATGCTATAGATGGGTCAAGAAATATTCACAGTAACCAGTATGCATGAATTGCAAAACAATTTATCAGTTATCCTTTATTAGATATTTCATACAAGAAAACCCCCACCACGTACATAGAATTGCACATTAGTCATAAATTGAACCATTCCCACACTCCTCATCAAACTTCTCAATTAAATATATTTTAATCCTGAACATACACGACAGGAAATATTTGCCGTAACCAGCATGAATGAATAGATTTAAAAATCCTGAAATATCCTTCCCTTAGCTCTCAAAATCTTATCACTGAAGCTTAATGAGACATTTCATCAAAGAAAATTGATCAGGTTATTTTTTTCCCCAAAAGCCAAGGCTTTTTTAAACTCAGTGTTTCTATGACAAAGAATCATGCCCCCTCTGATGTAAAACAAGGGAACTTGCCTTTGCCTCATTTCTTCCATGTGAGTTGCCAATTGTATTTCAACTGCTGCTCTTTCCACACTCTGGTTTTTCTCTGCTGTGAGTTGCCTGATGATGAACAAGATGTGATTTCCGAATGAAGCTCTTGCCACACTCCAAGCATTTAAATGGTCTTTTGCCTGTGTGAATTGCCTGATGACGAACAAGGATGCTCTTCTGACTGAAACTCTTTCCACACTCTCTAGGCATTTAAATGGTCTTTTGCCTGTGTGAATTGCCTGATGACGAACAAGGATGCCCTTGTGACTGAAGCTTTTTCTACACTCCAAGCATTTAAATGGCTTTTCCCCTGTGTGAGTTGCTTGATGGTAAGCAAGGTATGATTTCCAACCAAAACTCTTTCCACACTCTGGGCATTTAAACAGCTTCTCTGTTGAGTGAATTGTCTGATGCTGAATAAGGTTGTTCTTGCAACCAAAGCTCTTTTCACACACCAAACATTTAGAATGGCTTCTCTCCTGTGTGAAGTGCTTGATGATGAATAAAGCATTTCTTGTAGCTGAAGATCTTACCACACTGCAAGCATTTAAATGGCCTCTCTCCTGCATGATTTGCCTGATGACTAATAAGGTATCTCTTTTGACTGAAGCTCTTTTCACATTGCAAACATTTAAATGGCTTTTCTCCTGTGTGAGCTGCCTGATGTCTAATAAGGTTGTGTTTGTGACTAAAGCTCTTTTCACACCGTAAGCATTTAAATGGCTTCTCTCCTGTGTGAGCTGCCTGATGACTAATAAGGTTGCTCTTTTGAATGAAGCTCTTTTCACACTGCAAGCATTTAAATGGTTTCTCTCCTGTGTGAGTTCTCTGGTGGTAAACAAGGCCTCCTTTTTGACTGTAGCTCTTTTCACATTGCAAGCATTTAAATGACTTCTCTCCTGTATGGACTGCCTGGTGACGAACAAGGTGTGCGTTCTGAGAGAAACATTTTCCACATTGCAAACATTTAAATGGCTTTTCTCCTGTGTGAACTGCCTGGTGACGAACAAGGACAACCTTCTGAGAGAAACTTTTTCTACATTCCAAACATTTAAACTGCTTTTCTTCTGTGTGAATTGCCTGGTGATGAATAAGGTGTGCCTTCTGAGAGAAATCTTTTCCACATTCCAAACATTTAAATGGCTTTTCTCTTGTGTGAATTGCCTGGTGATAAACAAGGTTTGCCTTCTGAGCAAAACTTTTTCCACATTCCAAACATTTAAATGGCTTTTCTCCTGTGTGAATTGCCTTGTGACGAACAAGGTTTGCCTTCTGAGATAAACTTTTTTCACATTCCAAACATTTAAACAGCTTTTCTCCTGTGTGAATTGCCTGGTGATGAACAAGGCGTGCCTTCTGAGAGAAACCTTTTCCACATTCCAAACATTTAAATGGCTTTTCTCTTGTGTGAATTGCCTGGTGATAAACAAGGTGTGCCTTCCGAGCAAAACTTTTTCCACATTCCAAACATTTAAACAGCTTCACTCCTGTGTGAATTGCCTGGTGACGAACAAGGTTTGCCTTCTGAGAGAAGTTCTTTCTACACTCCAAGCATGTAAATGGTCCCTCTCCCATGTGAGTTGACTGATGACGAACAAAGTCTGATTTATGATGGAAGTTCTTTCCACACTCCAAGCATTTAAATGGTTTATCCCTTGTGGTAGTTACTTGAGAAAAATGGAATGATTCCTTCCAATTGAACTTCAGTTCATCTTCCACATATTTAAATTGTGTCTCCTCTGTTTACATCATTTGAGAACAAGGGAAGTGTGACAATGTATTGAAAAGAAAAGCATATATTAAAGTTTAAAAGTATACAAATTACAAAATGCATTTAGTCGAGACAGCCCTTTCCCTTAGCCCTTTCCAACACTTGCAGTTAAGAGAAAACATCTTTTATTTCTGCTCCAAGTATTATGCCAAGATATAAGCCTCAAAGTACTTTATAACTCAACCAGGGCTGGGGAAAATATAACTGTTTTCTTTAACCCTGGTTTCTCTGGAATTCCCTGTACTTCTAGCACAAGAAAGGTAAAAACCTTTGATCTGCCTGATGCCACAAAGGTAGGCAAATTTAACTTGATGGCATCACACAGCAGAACAAACAACCAAATTCGGATTAGAAGCCAGAATAAAGTTGCCATTTTTAAAAGGATTAAATGAAGCTGCATGGACTTGGGAGTTTGACATTCACTCTGTTTTCTCACTCCTAATTGTCACTCCTTGCAAGATCTAGTTAGCAACTCGGGCCACTCATAAAAGTCTTTTGGATTTGGCTTTATTGCTTTTTCTCTACAGCCCAAGAAAAATAATTACTAATGTCAGTTTGGCTAACACCCCTCCTTTCCTTTCAATCTCACTCCATGACTCCAACGTCCTTATCAGTTTTTTTTTCCCACAAGAAAAGTTATTCCATTCAGCTGCCCTCAAAACGTTCCACCGACACCCCTTGCTGAACCTGAGCTGTCATAGTGAGAACAATCAACTAGATCAGCTGTTTGACTTTAAGACACAAGTGAAGACCTACCTCTTCCGGCAGGCCTAATCAGGCAGTTCTAATGATGAATTTTACACTTCAACTCAATGTCTAACTTGTGTTTTGTGTATTTTAATATGTATGGAAGTATGTTTTAATATGTGTTTTTACAGAGTGTTTTTAAATTATGTTTTGATTATGTTTTAGCAATGTTGTAATCACCTCAAACTGTGAGGAAGGGTGGGTAAGAAATAAAATAATAACAATAATAACAACAATTATTATTATTATTATTATTATTATTATTATTATTATTATTATTATTACTACTACTTTGCTGCCATGGCTCCACTGGCTGCCAATTTATTTCCAGGCACAATTCAAATTGCTGGTTATGACCTCTAAAGAACGAAATGGCTCAGGTTCAGGCTATTTGGATGGAAAATAAGTATTGCTTAGAATTCATTTCATGTGGCAATTCCAGCCAAGTGTCAATTGTCTGCTTTGGATGCCCCCCCCCCCCCAAATGTGGGATATGGAATAAGCTTGTTTTCTATGGCTTCAGAGGAAGAGATCTGAAATGCTGGTTGATCTTTAGAACTTGTAAACTGATTTGGTTAACTACAAGCATAATGGAGCTTTACCCAGAGATGACACAATCCCTAAATTCTCCTCCATGATTTGCTGGTGCAAGGCTTTTTGGCTTGGAGCCAAGAGGGCCCACTCCTCCTCCGAGAAATCCACAGACACGTCTTCAAAAGTCACCTGAAGGGGGAAAAATGTTATGTGCAAGCAGGAAATGCCATCCACATTGTGAAAGAAAACAGGCCATTTGTGATTTATGTCTTTGAATAACTCATTCATTGAAAACATCTTGTATGGAAGGAATGTAGAAGAAAGAGGTTCAGTTAGAGTCTGGGCAATATCAAACACAAGGAGACTTGGCTTCCCCTCCCTTCCAGGGATCCTGCTGCCTACCTGATCTGGTCTCGCAGAATCTCTTCTTAGGAAAGAACCATGAATAGATGTGCTAATGTCACCTGGCCGTGTTTCTGTGAAAGAGAGGAAAGACATCAGGAAGGGTGAGATCGGGCCCTTTTCCAGGCTGCCCCACAGTTCCTTCCCTCGGAAGCCTGCCACTCTCCCCTTGCCCCATGGCTCTCTTTTAAACTCCCTCCTTGGATTTGGGTCCCAGGTCTTTAATGTGGACTATTTTGTTTTATGGGGGTGTTGTGATATAATCCCAGCAAATATATAGGGAAGACTGTAATTTGTGCCAATCTAGCAAACAGCACCATAACTTCACCACCATAAACATCCAGAGAGAAGCAAAGGAATGAAGTAACTTTGAAAGTGGCACAAATAACTATTGTAGAGAAATGTCTCCTGTGAACAGAATTCTTAAGCTCCCAGGCTCCCCATTTTTTTCCAGTTCACACAGCTTAGACATTTCAGGTCTACTTAAGAGGAGGTGAGCAAGCAAGAAGGGCCAACGCCATCCCTTACCAACAGTGATAGAGTCTCCATTTCCAGTCTGGGCAAGACACACAGTGTCTGAAGGAGACTCCTCCACCTGACTGGTCTCAGCTGCAACAGAGTCCTGCACCTGAACAAGCAGCACAGATCACAAAGAAAAAGACAGATCAAAAAAGGAGGGAGGGCTCTCTTTCTGCAACCTGTTCCAGGACACTTGGATTGTGGTTGGGATCCAAGACTGGTTTTCTTCATTCTGTAAAAGAATCTGTCTGTCCTTCATTTTGGGGTGGGAATTCTGCCTTCGTTTGGGCCTTGCACTCTGATTGAAAACTCGATCTGAAGTGGAAGGGCTACTGCTGAGATGAAGGAAGTGCTTTACGTAATCCTGGGCTTGTCATTTGGGGCTACCCTAGAGGGGCCCTCGAGCTGAGTAACCTAAGCCTGTATATCCATGCTTTCAGGTCCCTGATGAGTTATCTCTACCTATGAATAACATACAGGTTTTTTTTAGGGAAAGTGGTTGAGCCCATTTGCTTCCTCTGAAACACACACCACTGGAATTCTCCATATGTTCTTTTTAATCTTCAAAGGTTACCACCCTATAACTTTAAATCATTATACCTGGTTATACCATACTAAGGAATGGAGATTATTGCTCCCTCCTTTCTGTGAGACCGCGGTTGGGGGGGGGGGGGTAAAAAGGAGACAGTCATGGGACCCCCAAGTCTCTTTTCTTAGGCCAGCACACCTGGGTCCTCCTTTCCTAATGCTTTTCTAAACTCGTTCCAACTTGTTTGTCTAAACAAGTTCAAGTCCCCAGGGCCAGATCAACTACATCTAGCGGAAGTCATCTCGGAACCATTGAAAATAATCTTTAAGAGTTCTTAAAGAACTGGAGAAGTTCCAGCAGATTGGCTCTTTCTTTGGAAGCTTTTAAACAGAGGCTGGATGGCCATTTGTCAGGGGTGCTTTGAATGCAATTTTCCTGCTTCTTGGCAGAATGGGGTTGGGCTGGATGGCCCATGACGTCTCTTCCAGCTCTATGATTCTATGCTTCTATCTATAAACTAGCTCATCTCATCCTGAGGAATACAGAAAGCTAAATAGCGTTCTTCTATTTTGCTGGCTGCACAACCCATAGTTGGATACGGGTTTTATATCATTCTTCAGAACAATTATCCTTGGATCCTTGAAGCTACAAGATAAATCTCTCTCACACACACACCTGGGGCTTCTCCTGCTTCCTCTCCTCTTCCTGACTCAGGAGGAAGCCTTCCGCCAAGGCCACGGCCTGGGAGCTGGTCTCTGCCCCACATTCCCTGACCCAGCGCTCCATCTCGGCAGGAAGGACGGCCAGAAACTGCTCCAGGATCACCAGGTCCAGCATCTCCGCCTTGGAGTGTCGCTCGGGTTTCAGCCACAGGCGGCACAGAGAGTGGAGCTCGCTGCAGACCTCTCGGGGCCCCAAGGCCTCCTCGTAGCGGAAATGCCGGAAGCCCTGGTGCGGAAGGTCTGAATGGAGCAGATTGCTCTCCCAGTCTTTCCTCCAAGGCTCCTCCCAGAATACTCTATTGTTCTCTGCCTCAACAGCAGAAGAAAATACTTCAAACTTGTTTACAGCTGGCTCTTGCCCTTCCATTTTTGGTCTGTGCTTCTAGGCTGCCTCAAAACTGGATGAAGGTATGTCCAGGTCTTCTTTCAGATAGCGTTGAAGGCAGAAGGACTGGGAGAACAGATGGGGCCTGCAAACAAAACAAGATGAATGCATGTGAATACTCTCAAGGAAGGACATTTTACCACTAATATTGAATTGGCTTCTGACTGGCTTCTTGATCTGGAGGGATGGAGACCTGGTGGCGTAGTGGGTTAAACCCCTCTGCCAACAGAAGACAGCAGGTTGCAGGTTCAACTCAATGTAGATTGTGGATGAGCTCCCTCTATCAACTCCAGGTCTTCCTGCCTCCCACAAGAATGGTAAAACATCAAAACATCCGGGCATCTCCTAGGCAACATAGAATCATAGAGTTGAAAGAGACCTCATGGGCCATCCAGTCCAACCTCCTGCCAAGAAGCAGGAGAATTGCATTCAAAGCACCCCTGACAGATGGCCATCCAGCCTCTGTTTAAAAGCTTCCAAAGAAGGAGCCTCCACCACACTCCGGGGCAGAGAGTTCCACTGCTGAACGGCTCTCACAGTCAGGAAGTTCTTCCTAATGTTCAGATGGAACCTTCTTTCTTGTAGTTTGAAGCCATTGTTTCGTGTCCTAGTCTCCAGGGCAGCAGAAAACATGTTCGCTCCCTCCTCCCTGTGACTTCCTCTCACATATTTATACATGGCTATCATATCTCCTCTCAGCCTTTTCTCCTTCAGGCTAAACATGCTCAGCTCTTTAAGCCGCTCTTCATAGGGCTTGTTCTCTGGACCCTTGATCATTTTAGTCGCCCTCCTCTGGACATATCCTTGCAGACAGATAATTCTCTCACACCAGAAGTGACCTGCAGTTTCTCAAGTAGCTCCTGACACGACAAATCTGAAAGGAAAAAATGGGGGGGGGGGGTCTCCTTCCCAAAGACCAAAACCAAGGAAGCCAGGATGGCAGGGGCTTGGACTGGATGGCCCACGAGGTCTCTTCCAACTATGATTCTAACTGATGGGGCCTGCAAACAAAACAAGACCAACGAGATCACATTAATACTGGAGGGATTATGTTTGCCATGAATGTTGAATTGCTGGCTGGCTTCTGGATCTGGAGAGAAAGGATTCAGTGTGAGGGATTCTCTCCTTCCCAAAGACCAAAAGCATCACTCGGGTTCTCCTCCATTGCTTGGTCCTTACTCTGCTTTCTTTCTCTCTCTTTCCCCCTTTGTGAATCCCTCCTCATCCTTTTCCAGGCAGGTCCTCTGGGGGCAGGTGTGAAGCCTCTGTCATTGAAGCTTCTCCCAACCACTTCCGACCCCACGGCTTCCACAATAGGCCTTCGGCCAAGGGGCTGCTCTTCCCCATGAGAGAGAACTTCCCCTTTCCCCAATCTCTCCAGGACAGAAGAGGGAAGAGACCCTCCTGCAGCTTCTTCCCTCGGAGGACTGACTCCCTTCCGGAAGCGGCACTCCTCCTCCTCACCCATCGGAGGACCAACTCCAGTTAAGGAAAGCCCCTTCCGGTCCCTTGCTTCCTTCCCCTCTAGGAACCCCTCTTCACTGGTCGCCAGTCTGTTTCCAGGCCCAGTTCAGAGGACAGCTGCAGCCCTTCTGTGCCTGAGGCCCCAGCCCTGGGGAAGGCCTTCTCCTCCCTCTGGGAACCCGCCCAGACCCTCAGGAGAGGAGGCCCTTTTCTCCCATGGCAGGCAGTAAGGGCATTGGTTTCCAGATGGAAAAGGGTCCTGGTCGGGGTTGGCTTGACACACCTTCCTCTTGGCACATTTCTCTCTTTTTCACCCTCCATTCGTGCTTCAAATTCTGCAGCACTGCTGGGCACAGCTGATCTCCAGCTGGAGTGCTAAAGGGCCAGGGCTTCCCAGTTCTCAGTGTCTATGCACACACACTTACTTACTTAGGCAATCCCTTGTTGGCCGAGGAGGATAGTCTTCCAGGATCAGTATTCTGGTGGCTTCGTAGGTGACTGTGGAGCCCTATTCTTGATCTGCATCTTCTCCCACAGTGAGGGCATCGGTTTCCAGATGGAAAGCAGTCCTGGTCGGGGTTGGCTTGATGCACCTTCCTCTTGGCACGTTTCTCTCTTTCACCCTCCATTCGTGCATCTTCAAATTCTGCAGCACTGCTGGTCACAGCTGACCTCCAGCTGGAGCGCTCAAGGGACAGGGCTTCCCAGTCCTCAGTGTCTATGCAGACACTTACTTACTTACTTACTTACTTAGGCGATCCCTCGTTGGCCGAATAGGATAGTCTTCCAGAATCAGTGGCGATCCCTCGTAGTCCGAGGATGATGGTCCTCCAAGTGTAGTATCCTGGCGGTGGGTCCGTAGGTGACTGTGCAGCCCTATTCTTGATCTGCATCTTCTCCCACAGTGAGGGCACTGGTTTCCAGATGGAAAACAGTCCTGGTCGGGGTTGGCTTGACGTGCCTTCCTCTTGGCACGTTTCTCTCTTTCGCCCTCCATTCGTGTCTCTTCAAATTCTGCAGCACTGCTGGTCACAGCTGATCTCCAACTGGAACGCTCAAGGGCCAGGGCTTCCCAGTTCTCAGTGTCTATGCACACACACTTACTTAGGTGATCCCTCGTTGTCCGAGTAGGATGATCTTCCAGGGTGGGTCCATAGGTGACTATGGAGCCCTATTCTTGACCTGCATCTTCTCCCGCAGTGAGGGCATCTGTTTCTAGGTGGAAGGCGGTCCTAGTCGGGGTTGGCTTGCCGTACCTTCCTCTTGGCACGTTTCTCTCTTTCGCCCTCCATTCGTGCCTCTTCAAATTGTGCAGCACTGCTGGTCACAGCTGACCTCCAACTGGAGCGCTCAAGGGCCAAGGCTTCCCAGTTCTCAGTGTCTATGCACACACACACTTACTTACTTACTTAGGCAGTCCCGGTCGGGTTTGGCTTGACACTCCACGTTTTTCTCTTTTGCCCTCCATTCATGCATCTTCAAATTCTGCAGCACTGCTGGTCACAGCTGACCTCCAGCTGGAGCGCTCAAGGGCAGGGCTTCCCAGTTCTCAGCACACACACACACTTACTTACTTACTTAGGCAGTCCTGGTCGGGTTTGGCTTGACGCTCCACATTTCTCTCTTTTGCCCGCCATTCATGCATCTTCAAATTCTGCAGCACTGCTGGTCACAGCTGACCTCCAGCTGGAGCGCTCAAGGGCAGGGATTCCCAGTTCTGTGTCTATGCACACACACACACACACACATATACACACACAATACACAGACTAGGCCACAGCAACACTTGGCAGGGGACGGCTAGTTACAAATAATTCACAAAAGCTTAGTTGAACTGACCCTGTATTTTAGGACAGCCTTTCCCAATATGACAGTTGCTAGACTGTCACAGGCTGGCTCCCTGTTCCCTGGCCTGCCTTCCCTCCAACCAGGAGCCCCACTGCCTTGACTGAGTGAAGGCTAGAATGCCTCTGCTGCACCGCCTCCTTCCCAGAGAGGCTTCCTGAGGAGCGGAGGCCAGGCTTCCTAGAAAGGCGGGAAGGAAAGAAGGAAGACCCACCCACAGACAAAGCCCCGCCCCTTCTGGACAGTGGTGAGCACATCCTTTCCTAGAGAGGCACCGGAAGAGGCTTGTGCTGCAGAGGGTCCTCCGAGGGGGAGAGGAGTTCCGCTTCCGGAAGGAGCCAGTCCTCCTCGGGCTGGGCTGGAGGTGGGCCTGCGTTCTCTTGGGCGGCTTCTCTCCTCTCTTCTGGGAGATCCGCCCATTCCTTAAGGCTGTCACCCTTCCCATCTCTTTCCTGGGTAAAGAAGGGCCTTTCCTTTGCCCTGTTCCTTCTTCTGCTTCCTTCTTCCCTTCATGGCTGCCCCTTCCCTTCCCTTCCCTGCTGCTCCCTGGGCAGGAGGGCGGCTCAGAGACTCCACTTCGAAGCACAAGGCCTGGGGTGGGATCCTTGGGGGGAGGCCCTGCCTGGAAAGGGCCTCAGACAGCAGAGTAAGGGAGGCGGGCAAGAGGGAAACTTGGGGGCTTGTGCTTCTTGGAGGAAGGGGCTCTGGAAGCCCCTCTGAAGCCGCCCAAGGGCTCCCTGCACTCCCTCCTTCCTCATCCTCCCGCTTCTCCTCTTCCTAAAATGATCAAGGGTCTGGAGAACAAGCCCTATGAGGAGCGGCTTAAGGAGCTGGGCATGTTTAGCCTGAAGAAGAGAAGGCTGAGAGGAGATATGATGTTGTTGTTGTTCATTCGTTCAGTCGTCTCCGACTCTTCGTGACCTCATGGACCAGCCCACGCCAGAGCTCCCTGTCGGCCGTCACCACCCCCAGCTCCTTCAAGGTCAGTCCAGTCACTTCAAGGATGCCATCCATCCATCTTGCCTTCGTCGGCCCCTCTTCCTTTTACCTTCCACTTTCCCCAGCATCATTGTCTTCTCTAGGCTTTGCTGTCTCCTCATGATGTGGCCAAAGGACTTCAACTTTGTCTCTAGTATCCTTCCCTCCAATGAGCCGTCGGGCTTTATTTCCTGGAGGATGGACCGGTTGGATCTTCTCGGATAGCCATGTATAAATATGTGAGAGGAAGCCACAGGGAGGAGGGAGCAAGCTTGTTTTCTGCTTCCTTGGAGACTAGGACGCAATGGAACAATGGCTTCAAACTACAAGAGAGGAGATTCCATCTGAACATGAGGAAGAACTTCCTGACTGTGAGAGCCGTTCAGCAGTGGAACTCTCTGCCCCGGAGTGTGGTGGAGGCTCCTTCTTTGGAAGCTTTTAAACAGAGGCTGGATGGAACGATACAGCTAATAAATAAATAAGTACCAAGCAATGAAGAAGATCCAGGTCAATGGTTTTGTTCTCTGGGATGGAGAGGAGGCAAAAGTATGATAGCTGGGACCCTAGGCTGGTTGCGCAACGCGGGTCTGAATTAATGAGGGGAATTAATGAAACAGCACAGCGAGTGAGAGACGCAGCCACATAAGAGTCAAGGCAACATTGTTCACCAGAAAGGGGGAGAGGGAACATTCCTATCCAGTTTACCATCTTCGTAAGCCGTTGTTTATCATTTAACATTAAGGCTTTCATGGCTGGAATCACTGTGTTGTTGTAGGGTTTTTCAGGCTATATGGCCATGGTCTAGAGGCATTCTCTCCTGATGTTTCACCTGCATCTATGGCAAGCATCCTCAGAGGTAGTGAGGTGAGACAAGCCTCTGAGGATGCTTGCCATAGATGCAGGAGAAACGTCAGGAGAGAATCCCTCTAGACCATGGCCATATAGCCCGAAAAACCCTACAACAACCAGGTCTTGCATTCCTTCACCCTTATCCTCTCCCACCTGAATTAAATTACTTCACTGCTATCCTGTCGCAGCTACGTCTTTTGCTCGCTCTGCTGTCTCACACACATCTTCCCTTCAATAATTCTGAACTGTGTTGCACAACTTGTGTAGCGTAGGGTCCCAGCTATCATACTTTTATTGGAGAGGATTCCCCCCCGAATCTTTTTTTCTCCTGATCAAGTAGCCAGTCATTAATTCAACATTAGTGACAAAACGTTATCCCGCCTTGAGACTATTCACATGAGCTCATTCATCTTGCTGGAGCCCCCGGTGGTGCAGTGGGGCTTCAGTCCTGTGCCGGCAGGACTGAAGACCGACAGGTTACAGGTTCAAACCCGGGGAGAGGTGGATGAGCTCCCTCTCCAGCTCCAGCTCTTCATATGGGGACATGAGAGAAGCCTCCCACAAGGATGATAAAAAAATCAAATCATCCTGGCGTCCCCTGGGCAACGTCCTTGCAGACGGCCAATTCTCTTGCAACAGAAGCGACTTGCAGTTTCTCAAGTCGCTCCTGACACGACAAAAAAAATCATCTTGCTTTGTTTGCAGGCCCCACCAGTTCTCCCAGTCCTCTCACTTTGAATGTCATTTGAGAGAAGAGGTGGACACATCTTCAGGTTGGGGGCAGCCTAGAAGATCAGAAAAAAAGATGGAAGGGCAAGAGCCAGCTGCTGCCCATTTGGGAGTAATATATAAACATTATCCCATCACAGTATTAACATGACCTTATTTGTCATTTGTTTTGTAGACCCTGTCAGTTCTGTCAATTGTTTCCCTTCAAATATCATCTAGCGGAGAGGAGGAAATATCTTAGTTCGGTTTTGAAGCATTTAAGACGTATAGAAGAAAGATGGAAGAGCAAGAGCCAGCTGTCGCCCCATTAGAAATATTTTCTTTTGATGTTGAGGCAAAGAACAGTAGAGCACTCTGGGAGGGCCCTTCGAATAAAGACTGGGAGAGCAATCCGCTCCACTCAGACCTTCAGCAGCAGTGCTTCTGGAGGTTCTGCTATGAGGAAGCCTTGGGCCCCCGAGATATTTGCAGCCGCCTCCACTCTCTCTGCCGCCTGTGGCTGAAGCCCGAGCGACACTCCAAGGCGGAGATGCTGGACCTGGTGATCCTGGAGCAGTTCCTGGCCGTCCTTCCTGCGGAGATGGAGCGCTGGGTGAGGGAATGTGGGGCAGAGACCAGCTCCCAGGCCGTGGCCTTGGCTGAAGGATTCCTCCTGAGTCAGGAAGAGGAGAGAAAGCAGCAGAAACCCCAGGTGAGACAGAGAGAGAGGTTCATCTTGTGGTTGGAGATAGAGAAAGTGCAAGGAACCGATCCTAACAGTGACCATAGTGGGGCCTGGGCTACATTTCCAGGACCTATTAATGGACTATGAGAGGGACTGGGCAGAACAAGTACTCAAAGATGACGGCAGGGGGTCAGGAAAGAGTATGAAGAGGTTGTGGGTGAACTACAATTCACATCATGCCAGGCTAACCCCCTGAAACTACATCAAAACTTAACGTTTGTCATGTTGGGCAAATTTACTCTAGGTGCATCATCAGTGGGGTTCAGTGTGCTCTCCAGCTGCAGGATGAATTACAACTGCCACTATGGTGTGTCACTCTTGTCAAATCCCTCCAATACATTCAGTTGGTCATGGGGGGTTCTGTGTACCAAGTTAGATCCAGGTCCATCATTGGAGGGGTGCAGGTGCTCTTGGATTGCAGATAAACTATAAATCCCAGTATCCACAACTAACAAATGTCAAAGCCAATTCACCCCAAATCCCACCAGTATTCATATTTTGGTATACCGGGTACGCTTGCCATCTCAGCAGTAGCCCTTCCACTTCAGATCGAGTCTTGAAGCAGAGTGCAATGCCCAAACGAAGGCAGAAATCCCACACCAAAATTGAGGAAAGATAGATTCTTCTGCAGAATGAAGAAAACCAGTCTTGGGCCCCAAGACTAGTAATCAAAGCAGTCTGGAACAGGTTGCAGAAAGAGAGCCCTCCCTCCTTTTCTAATCTGTCATTTTTTTTGTGATCTGTGCTGGTTGTTCAGGTGCAGGACTTTTTTGCCAAAGGGACTAAGCAGGTGGAAAAGCATCTTTCACATTTTGGTCGTCTATTTGGAGGAGAATATATCCCAGTTGGTAAGCGATAGCAGTGGTCCTTCTTGCTTTCTCACCTCTTCTTGAGTAAACCTGAAATGTCTGAGCTGTGTGAACTGGTAAAATCTGGGGAGCCTGGAAGCTTAAGAATGCTGTTGACATGGGACATTTCTCTACAATACTTACCATATATACTCAAGTATAAGGCAAGGCACAAAAAACTGGGAAAACTTATGGACTCGAATATAAGCCGATGATGACAAATGCAGCAGCTATATGAACAAGGAAAAGTGGTAAAGACACACCGAGAGAGGAAGAGAGGAAAGTGTGTGGTGCGCCAAAAGAGGAGGGGAGGAAGGAGGGTTGCGGCGCGGGGGGGGTGAGGGTCCTGGCAGGAAGGCTTGGGGTTGAAAGAAGGGCTCCTTTTAGCCCCAGGCCTTCCTGCCAGGACCCTCACCTCCCAGCACAGCAATCCAGCTCTCTTTCCTCTCTGTCCTGAGTTGCCCTTCAAAAACAGCCTTTAGACAATGTTGAAAATAAAAGAAAAATGCTTTCCTTCAACAAACACAAAGCAAGGAAGTCTTAATTCAGACACAAATTAAAGTCTCTTACAAAGTCCCAAACGAAACACCAGTCTTCCATCAGACAAAGGGCAATGAACTAAGTCATTAGCAGCAGACACAAAGCAGATTCCATTGGAGTGAAAACATCAGTATCAGGGTCGTTGTTACCAGCGAAAGCCGACTGCTCCTGCCTCTGATTTGTAGCCCTGAATTCCCCATGCAGGAGGTGCTAGGGCATCTCCCA